TGACCTTTTATGGTAACATAGGTATATGTAAAATGCCGGTACGTTTAGTGTTTAAGACTCTGCTTTCGACTTGAACTCTCAAACTGTCGGAGAATGCTCAAGAGGCGATCTGCATCGATCAGAGATCAAACGATTTCTTCCCGTGATAAATGAACCATTCCTTATCGAGTTCTGCATTATCTGAGCAAATGAAAAATTGGGAAAGATTCCCTTCGTTTCCTTTTTCATCGGCTTCACCGATTTTTGGATCTCAAGATGGAGGCAAATCGTTGACATCGTTTGTCAACTGCACGCGTCTTAAAGTATTATATTATATTAGTTCGAACGACTTGTTATCTTTGATACTTACATTTTGAACTATCACGTGTTCGAAATTCGCTTCACTTTCATTCGCGACTTGTTCTTCTCTCGGTGTATCTTGATCGATTTTATTGATCGAATCGTTGGACCGAAACACAGGGTTAGCATACGTTCCGATAATCTATTTGATGAAAAATAATTTGTACTGATATTTCATATTTTATGTATTTTATTGATGCCAGCACTACAATACTTTGATTAGAATTATCTATTATTAAAATTACTATTTGTTACGGAAAGAGATTCACATTTTTAGCTGCTAATTTATTACAATATATAGAGCAATGCAGAAATATATTAGAAGAAAAATTGAAATAAAGTTCAAAGTCCAATTCGCCGGGAATTCAATAAGAATTTTGTCAAAAATCTGCTACAAATTCTCAATAGTCGCAAATATAAAATATCTAAAATTCACCAATTGGAGTTACAAATTCGAATGGCGAGAAGTCCCGACGAAAATTCTTATGCTAATTGTTACGAGGATTTATTCTAATAAAATATGTATTAAAACCCTTCAAAACGAGAAGTAATAATAGTGCGTTGCAGAGATAATTTCATTTGTGCATAATTTCTTCTAAAGGAAGGAACTGATCAACGTGTCTTACCACTAAAATCACGAGCAAGATAGACGACATCGTTTCGAAAATCGATTTCGTAGACAATTCCTAATCTCCGTCGAGCAAGAACACGTTTTAGAGAGTCTGGCAAAGTATCCACGAGACGCAATAATTGAAATGCAACTATGTGAAGCGTTTCCGCAACCACGAGTCTGAATATATAACGCTTCTCGCAGATAGAACTTTCCTTATCGAATGGTGGTACCCTCATACCTCCTAGATAACACTGCTATTACCAAATTATACATGCTTCACTTGTTCGAAACCTCGAGCCATCCATTGCGTCTGAATCTGTTAGTCGACGAGCATGAGTCAGTTTGGTGTGTTGAGAATATTGTTCCTCTTTCTTGATCCTTGTTTTTATCAAACATAATTCTATTTTCTAAAAATGAAATTTTTCTTTCTATGTACTTCGTGAAGTTCATTTTACAATTTGAATCTGATTATCAGTGACATAATTTCTCATTTTAATTATTCTCTTAATAATTCATGAATATGTCATAATAAGTTTCTCATGAATTATTCCTCATACTTTTTATAAGAAATAACTTAACTGATAGTATTTTCAGATGCATTCATTTCACTTAAAATATTCTAAAAATAATTTAAATGTATTAATTTAACAATATTTCTCTTTTTTGTATTTGTTTATAAAACAATTTTAATATATTATCATAGGAAAGACTCATTGTTCATTATCAGTCACTATTTAAATAAAAAGTGAAAACTTCAAACAAGTATTTCTTCCTTTCTATTGCAACATTTGATTTGACTTGGTATCTTTTTCAGATTTACCAAATGAACTGAATTTTTTCTTTAGTGAAGTGAACTAAAAGCTCATTAAGTTAGATACTAAGAAGCTGCATCATCAGTTGTATTTATTTTACATTTTAATATCTTTTTTCGCCTAATTAGTACTCTTAAGCAAATTGCTTGTTCTTTTAAAACGTAAAAAACTAAGTACATAGTAATATTGAAATATTATGAAAGCATCGAAGTTCTTTTGAAAGTTTTTCCTGAAAGAGAATTGACAGCCAGAAATTATAATCAAATTCTTAAAATTCTTAAAGAGGGAGTTTCTAAATGAAAAAGAAAAATAGGTTCCTATCCCTCTTCAAATTATTTTCAAAAAACAATTTCCAATTCTCTACTCTGAAGGAAATTTCAAGGGCCATTTCAGTTGCCAAGGCGAAAGGAAATTTCTGTACTTTCAACTGATGGATGAAAAGCCTGGATCCCAAGAATGATAGATCAGGATCGTTAAACGGCTACTACTCGATACAAAAAAAAATAGAGTTTCGAGACACGTGTTGAGAACCAGTTGTCCTTTTTGCTATTGCGTCCAACCGGGATACATAACTCAACCGCCTTGAACGTGCAGTCATCAAACAGGATTCGCTTGTTCTCGTCCATTTTCTCCTGCGTGAAATCGTCACAGCGACCTTGTCCAAGGTCGTAGCCTTCGATCGATCGAAAGATCTTCGTCGTCGGATTGTCCTCACTTTCGCTCGGACACGTTCGACCAACGACAGCACGATCTCGAGATAAATCGTTCGCCGTTTAGGAAGTGGAAGGAATGAAAGAGGCGGAGACTCGAAATTCCAAGGACGTCGAGCTAAAATAAATCATTGGAGATAAGTAGGGGTTACTCGAAGATTTACGCTCTTGGAGATGTGATCTTTTTTTGGAAATTAATATTTTGTAAGATGAAATGGAGTTTAACTGATGAAAATTGGTCCTCCCGCGACACATTTTACAATCACGTTTTGAATGACAATCATGCTTGTAGCAAAAACTGAAGGCTCCGTGATAAAAATCAATCGATCTTTTAATAACCACTTTAATAATCTTTACAATTGTGTAAACATTCTTTTCCACGGTTCGAAAATCCTAAGGAAATCCAATAATAAGATATTCGATTCGCATTTCTGGTAATCGAGAACTAATCCTTATCGAAACCCAGGGAACGGTCACAAAAACATAAAATAATAAAAATAGTAAAATTAAAAAATAATGGAACACAATATTTCCAGTAATCGAAATTATTATTGATTCACAATCTCTTCTCCTCAAAAAAGAAATAATAAAGTATTCGAGTATTTTCAGAAATCTCAAAACCTCTCTATTTTTCACAATCTCCCGATTAATTAAGTTCAATATTTCTAGTACAATCTCGAAATTCATATCGTGAAATCGCACGATCCTGAAGCTTTCATCTTTCCTGCAATTTTGTCGTTTATTCACGCTTGTAAATGAAGTCAAATCCAATTCCTTTCGTCCGGCCGAAGGACACGAAAGATTCGCAAGCCACGCGATGGTTGTTGGCGCGGTACGGAAAAACCGGAAACGAGAGGAGAACGATCCGCCGCATAACGGAAGAGCGAAGCTCGGTTCACGGACACGCGACGCATACCGATCGCAACTTAATTCAAGTGTCACGCGTTCGCGAACGAATCGGCACCTCTCTCTCTCTCTCTCTCTCTCTCTCTCGTTCTTTTCTTCCCCGATTAACGTTTCTGCCTTGCTTCATTTACACACAGCCTGTAACGTATGCACGTACGCGACTCTGAAACCGTTACCAGTC